AAGAAAACTAGGCTTTGTGTTTTGCATTAAAAAGCACCACCTTAGTCATCAGGGTTTCTAACTCTTGTGGAGAAATTAATGTAGTGTTTCCTGCTAAGTTATTTACTGCTTTTCTTTGAAAGGACATACCTGAGAATAATAATCTTAAATTTTTATTTCATCATTATGGGAAGATACAGCTAGGAGAATCCAATTTCAGCACAGGGAATTCTCAGCTTTCATGGAGACCTGGAATGTTTCAGCATCTTAATGGAATTCCAATGAGCATAAACCCCAAAGGTCCCAGAGAGATTCCAGTATTCTGCATTTCTGCTGTCAGAAGGAGATCTCTGTGAGATGCAAACAGAAAGAAGGAATGACGGAGGCGAGGCTCTGCTGATTTCTGTGATGCTGACAGAGATTGCAAGGGCACTATTCCATGTGTAACAGAGGAAAGAGCATCTCAGACCAAGGTCACAGCACCTCCCAGACTTACATAACAGAGTGAAATATTGAAAAAAAACCCTGATCTTATTAAAAATGTCTGTACATTTGATGTACAGTTATTTAATTTTGATGCTTGAGAACTGCAGGTGTAGATGTGGCTCAGAAAAGCCTGACATCAACTTTGTTGACTCTTACATAAAAAGTTACTCCACTAGCGAACCTATGGTGATCTATGTAGTAGCTATATCTCTACTGTATACTAGCGCGTGTTTTATACATACCATAGATTTCTATTTTTTTTCCTCAAGAAAATTTTATACTCCTTCCATTTTAAAAAGGATTTAAACTTATTGATTTCCTTTTTCTTGAACATTCCTGTCCACACATCTGGGCTTACCCAAGATTATTCTTTATATCATAGTATACATGATTTATCAATTAACGTTCTGTAAGCAAGACAACTCAATCCACAAATCAAGCAGGCACTTCAATTTGTACTATTTTAGGTACAGTAGGTTAATGAGTTAATAAACTACCCGTATGTAATTATATACCATTTCTAATGTTAAAAAAAATATTTACCTGAAAAAGAAAGACTGAATTTGATGGGATTTTCTCTACAACAGAATGACAATAAAAAGGCTACGGACATCCTGTGTTCTTGTTCACAGTTGAAGCTTGGTGAAATTTGTCCCAGTGGCCACAATATTTGTTTTACACTTGCCAGTTCTATATTCTCAGATGATGTGAATGCATGGATTTTACCAGTCTTCAGCACCCTTTACATATTCATGAAAGCTAGGACTTAGCTATGGTATTTCCAGTGCTCTGTCACCCCCACAGTGAAAAACTTTTTCCTTATGTTAATGTGGAACCTCCTATGCTCCAGGTTGCACCCGTTGCCCCTTGTCCTGTCTTTGGACATCACCGAGAAGAGCCCGGCTCCATCCTCCTGACTCTCGCCCTTTACGTATTTATAAACATTGATGAGGTCATCCCTCAGTCTCCTCTTCTCCAAGCTAAAGATACCCAGCTCCCTCAGCCTTTCAGCATAAGGGAGATGTCAAATTCATTCTACATTAATGCCAGTGAGGAGACAATAGATTTCTAACAAAGAAGAATTTAGCCCATTACGCTTCTTGAACTCACTCTAACCCCAGAATTTAGAAGAGGAAGGACTGAAAACTTATTAGCATTTCCAACTGGTAGCTGGGTGAAACCCTAGCAGAAAGTAATTGTGCTGAGCTTCTATCCTGGTAATTGTCCACTAAGCTAGCACTTCCAGAGGCAGTATATTGACATGATAGTTTTGTTTGAAAAGATCTTCTCTACAGAGTGTCTTCTCCACTTCAAAATCCTGCAGCTCTGTTACTTAACAGGTGTTCATTGATTTTTCAGTTCTCACACTCCACCCTGAAACCAGCAAGAGCTCCACCACAAATTTAATTCGGATTGTTCCTCCCTGGAGTTCTGTGACGGCTGTGGTAAATACAAATTTTGTATGCTCCACATGCCTATAACAGTCTTTGAAATATGTTTTCAGGGCATTTGCATTCATTAGAGAATTTGAGCATTTAAAATTTTGAGATATTTTTCACACTGTAACCTTAGGGAAATTCCTTAGGCTGGAATTTTCTAAATTAGCTTTTAATAGGAAATACACATTTAAATCCCTCTAACAGCTTAAAAATGTCTTAGCCATGGTCTTTTCATACTTCAGTTCTTTGTCAAATCGAGGTAAAAGTTTACTCCTCAAGGGTGTAATGAGAATTAATGTTATGCAGACTGATTCTACAATGACTGGACAATATAGACAAGTGGATAAACATCAGTTAGAAATGCACACATTATTTTACTTTCCCTAAGGACTAGCTGTATATTTATAATCTTTTGGAAAAATATATTCACATAACTTTAAAACAAGGAGATTATTTTCTTCTGTAACTACACAAGTTCTCGAAAGGTGTTTTGTGAGTGGGTAATTTATGACATGCCGTGAGGCGTAGCCTTAAGGCAAGCATAGAGCAGATCTTTTCACTATTCTTTTTCAAGTACTCATTTGATCTAGTTTTAGAAAGATGCTACATATAAAAAATAATTCATTTTCCAATCCTAATATTGCCATTTTGAATTCAAAAGGGACTCAATTAATCATTACATTTTAATGGCATGAAACTCTTTAGTGTTAGTAAATACCCAGAAAAGTAAACTCCTGCCTCTTGTAATTTAAAACATTACATGATTTTTTCAATAGAAAAGATAATTTAGGAAAAATAGAACCTTATGTCTTAGCTAGCAATTTCATAATAGGTATGAAAATTAAAATTCTCATTATGCTTTCTGTAGCTTCATGTAATGTCAAGAAGTTATGCCGAGGGTCTTCCTATTCTATGAAAAGGATGATGGAGAGGAATGAGTACACTGTACAATATTTTTCCCCCTGATTGGTAAGAAGAAGAGAGACAGAAGTATATGTGGATTTTCACTCTACTGTGATGCAAAAGCTGGTCTGGCCTGTCTGAAAATGACTGACATATCTTCTTCATTTACACTAAGACAATTTTAAAACAAAAATGGCAATCAAAAAATCATCATGGCTTTTATGGGCCAGGAGAGCAATCTATTGCTTTTCAGTTTTGCTTCAGGTCTGTGCATGCTTTTTCGAGGATGTGATGAAGGTTAGACAATAGTCTAACCTCGAATACATGAACTTCAACCTGTGAAGGAAAGAAAGCACCAATCCATGGAGAAAATACTGAAACTTTATACAGTATATACAGATCTACAGACTTTTTGCATGTAAGTGATTGCTTGGTAGTATAAATAGAAGTTACAGAGCTCTTTGTTGTAAATTCCTGGAATCTCATTTCAAAAGGATTTATAAAATTAATGCAACCTGTGTCTTACGGTCATAAACTATTGCACAGTTGTAACCTTTTATGGTTACAGCTCAGTGTTTTGGCATATGTTCAGCATGAAATATATGAATAGGGCCTTTTTTTCCAGTGAGGTAAACATGTAAATACTTATATATTTATTGTTTGCAGGATCAGGTCCAAATCATGGCACAAATAATTAAATTTGTGCCTAAGAAGACAATAAACCTTGACTATTTCTCTGGTTGTATAGATAGATTATTATATTCCTAGACTGTAAATTCCTGTTGGTTCATATGAACTTCGTGCTCTTCTGGAGGCAGTTAACTTCCTGCAGCTGATATGTTTACAATCTATACAAAAGCCTCTTCAGAATATTAATGTCTCGAATATATGCACAGAGCATATTTATTCAGCTACACCATTTCCATTATAATGGATAAGTAGTATTGAGTGTGCAGTTGCAGAACTGTTCTACTGCAAGTATCCTTCATTCAGGGTACACTTACAAATTAAATTACTGATGGCAAAGAAAAATTTCCCACCAAGTAAAAAAAATCACAGCAAGGGGCACTGTAAAAATGTCATAATTAGTGCTGTTTTGAGTGAATGTGAATTTGAAAATGTTCCTCCCCTGTAAATTCATCAGCTAGAAAAATGGAAGCTCTCACATTAATATATTTTAATTAATTCTGTGCTGTTTCACCTTACACTGAAAGCTACAACTGATTGTTTCCATATATTTAGGAATCTACACGACCTTGTCATTTCAGTATTTCTGTGAACTTCATGTCCTTGCATAGAAGTTTTCACAAAGACTGAGCAGGATATAGAATCATTATCCCATTTCACAGGTAGGGGACTGAGGTAGAGAGAAAAACTATGGCTTGTCTTCACTGAATTCCTACATGTGGCTAAGTTTAATACTTGATTAGTTTAACAATTGTTTAGACTCCATTTAAATGATGGTTTTTGGCTGATCCATTGGGTTGGAGTGAACGGGACTGAAAGTCAAGTACTACTGTTAGGGATACTCAAAATTTCACTGTCTGGAGCTTGAATAACTCATTGAACTCATGAGTGTGGGTAGCTATGATGCTACTGAGTAATGCAGTCACTCTTTGTCCAGCTACACCAGTTTGGACAGAATGACACGAGTCTGTCAACTACATTTGTAGTGAAGACAAGCCATTGAGTGACTTTTCTAAGTATATAAAAAAAGAAAGCAATCTGGGTCTTTTGAATCTATCTGTTTTCTGTCCGATATCTGAACTGCAAACTTATGCACATTGCTGAATGATTTTGTACTGATGTACTGATGTTAACAGGCAATAATTTGTGTTGCATATTTTTCATTAATGACTAGCATTATTGGAAAAAAACCCCAACAATCCCTCCCCTGACAATTTGTGAAGGTTTCCCTTCAACAGTAAATATTATCACTGATGATGTTAATGAAGACATTAGTTTCACAGCATTTGAAGTACTGAAACACTCAACTGTTAACTAGCCTAGTGGGGTTTATGCTAATGTAAAATGTAATAAAGTAGAGGCCACTATCTCTTTAAGCTGAAAGAAAGGAATCTTGTTTCTACTTCCAAGGGATGCCTAGTGTGTGCTTATCTAATTGACTGTGTATTTTGTCTAGGTGTTGAGGGAAAGCTAAGAGAATGAAGGCTCTAAGTCCCCAGTGGAAGCATGATATGGCGATGCAGTGCTGGTGCTGAATTGTTCTCTCTGATGGCTCTATGGGAGTGGATAGCACTGAGTCTTCATTGCTGGGTTTTAGCAGTTGCTGCTGTTTCGGATCAGCATGCCACAAGCCCCTTCGACTGGCTCCTCTCTGATAAGGGACCCTTCCATCGCTCACAGGAATACACAGATTTTGTGGACAGAAGTCGACAGGGATTTAGCACAAGATACAAGATTTACAGGTATGAAGCAAAGGGAAAGCAATCACAGAGATATCATACTTAGAAGCTGTAAATTATCAACAAGGGTTTCCTTAAGGGAAAGATTCAGATGTGGGAACAAATCCATAGTTGCAAAATTCATTGCTGAAATATGTGCAAGGCCATATATGCACTGTGTACTATGGAAATGCCTGTTTGTGTTGTTTCTATTTTGTTTAAAGAACTTTCGATAATTGGTTATATTGCTTTGGAAAACATTGTTGTTTATTGCCTACTTTTACTCTGCCTTAGTGACATACTCAAAAATGTCCTACGGTATTCAAACACCAGCTTTGATTTCAGAGGGCTAACATGGAACACCTTTGATCATGCAGCAAGATCCAGTTCAACTGTTTTCAGTGTGGCTCATCAAGACATGAGCTGAGGCTTTAAGAATGAAATTGTGGCTTCACAGATACTGCTGGCAATTTCAATGTACAAATCAGGGCATTTCAAAAGTGACTCAAAAAGTTTAATATTAGTTTATACCAGTGTTTTGAGAAGAAGTTTTCTCACCCCTGAGGGACTGAGCGATAAAAGCCATTGTGAATTTTAACAGAAGTTGCGGGTGTTTGGTTCATCACAAAATTCAGCTTTAGGCTGACCCAATTCAGACTGAGAAAAGAAAAAACAGGGGAAGACTTCAAAAGTATAGGTCTGCTTGAGAATTTGTGACTTGCTGTAGAATTGTTTTCATGACACATTTGTAATCTGTTTCTAGTCTTTTGAGGTAGCACTGATGAATCATCTTCTTAATCATTTGCAAGAGGTATAACTCAGTAGCATCGAATAGGTTTGTCAAGGACATGGGAATGAAAAGGAGAGTTCAGTTTAATAATAGTGACCTAATAGCAAATAGACAGAAGGGAAGAAGTGAGGGAGCACGAGAGATTAAGGACTGAGAAAACAAATCTATAAGCAGAGAGACTTTTTCACTTCGTATTGTTATATATCCCTCCTCGCAGCAAAGAGAAAGGGGTGGCAACAGGGCAATACAGGACAGATTTTTAGCACTAATAACTCTCCAACCTATAAACACAGACTGTTTTGGTATGGAAAGACACACACTGATTTAATTTAAAACCATGAAACAGTTTGTACAAATTTCACACCTATTTTAAACTATTATTCCCTAGTGGTATCCAGCTCTTTAGAAGAAGGTAGGAGTGATGCATGCCTACATGTATATTATATTTAGTTCAATGTCCAGTGGCCTGTGACAAAACTTTTGGACTCTGCAAAGATTTAATTTTCAAGGAACTTGCTGTGTTTTCCTTTCCTAAATACAATCAGTAGAGGGCACTCTGCTGCAGGTCAATTTTGCAGAGGGCTCCTTTGCCATATATAGAGAAATTAAACACTTTTTAAAGTGAAAGTAAGGTGGGATTTTGAAATATGCTTGATGAAGTGGCTTGTCTTAACAGAACAGCATTGCCTAATATTTACTGCATTTTAAAAGCCAGCTGTCAGGACTGATAATGTAAAGCCAATAATGCAGACACTGAGGCAGCATATTTTATTTCTATTATTCTGTATTAGACAACACTAAACCAAAATTATCCTGCTAAAAACATGACAGGTGGAATTGTATTTAATTTCAGCTCTTTCAACGAGGTCTTTGAGAATTTTTCTCCTCTCAGCCATCATTACAGAAACATTGTTAAGTTTTATAGACCTATAATCATATCACGATTTTTTTGTTCGGGTTTGTGCATAGGTTTCAATTGACTTTAATTTGCACAATCCCACAGGAAGTGTTTCTTGTGTTTATTTCTATCCTCTACATATTGCCATCAAGAAATGAGCTGGGAAGTCAAAAGAGCACAAGCTACCTTAATCAAAAGAAAAGCTGCATTTTTTAATTTAGTCCTCCAAATACAAACCTTACTGCAAAGTTTCCTTGTAGAATATGGTCCCATTAGCAAGTAGCACAGAACATGGTGACCTTGTTATGAACACACACTGTAAATTTAATCAGTGTTGCTTTTCTATGAACTTTCCCAGGCTCAAGGATCCGGACTCTAATTGGTCTGTTCATTCTCTCGCCTCTATTTTATCTAGTGAAAACCATCCCTCAGGGACACAGTCCTGATTTGAATGGAGAGGTAAGGAAGGGGAAAACACAGGCCTGCATTGACTCAGTGGACTCATGCTAACAAGAAAGAAAGGTGCCATTCCAAACAATGCTAACAGGAAGGCCTTCTTTCCCTTTGCTCTTTACTTCAGGCCTTAAAGCCTACATCTGAGACAAGACATTTTAAGAGTGAAGGAGAAAGAAAGTAATCTCCTTTCATTTTAGCATCTGTGCCAGCTCAAAATCCATGGGGCTGAAGAAGAGTGAAATGTATGGGGTGAGAAACTCCAGCAGAGTCTGTCCCTTTTTGAATCCTTTCTGGTAGGATGTTGGTAGCACAGTGAGGTCAGACAGAAAAAGACTGAAGAATTATTATTATTATTATTATTTTTTTTTTAATATCACAAATGTGGCAAGTAGCTGCAGACTGCCTAAAGGGGTGCCTCTCTTTTGGGGAAGGAGTTGGCTCCTAAAGAACTGATGAGACTGTCACAAGTACCAGCTTGCTTTCCATGTCTCTAGACAAATGGCATCCGAACCATACAAAGAAAATGACCCATTGTATCTCTCTGTCAAAACCTAACAAGTACTGCTGCGCATGTGAGCTAACCTAGGATGACCAGCCTAACAGTGGGATTAGTTGTTTACAATTAACAGCAATTAAATAGCCTCAATAAAACCAGCATAAAACCAGCAGTGAGTTAGTTGTACATACTGCATGTAGTATTTTAAAATGTATTGGAGTTTCAGGAGGCTGCTGTATGATTTTTGTTTTCCAACAGTGGAACAATTACACAGTGACTAGAATGATATTTTGATTCCCATTAATTTTTTCCCCTCCTTTGGCAGTGTCAGTAGAGGAGTAATGATGTAGAAAAAAATAAAATCTCAATTAAATCACTAGCTTCCATTTTTTTTTTTTAAATTTCAAAATAGCATTCCCTATTATAATCAAGATCATAATAAAAAGCAGAGAATACATGTTATTCTGCTTTTGGTTATATCAGGTAATGCATATTTCTGTAAATACTGAAGTGCCAGAGATGAGGCCTTTATCCTGTATAATTGTTTGATGCTGATTTGAATAGGATCAAGGTCACGTAGTGCAGGGCTGTGAAAGATACAGAATGATTAAAATCAAGATGATAGGACAGAGAACTGGAAAAGCACATATTAAAGAGAACAATGAAGAATATTAAAACGAAGATGACTTGAAAGTTGATGGAAACACTGTCATTATTTCTCAGCTATTGAGTAAAACAATGTTGTGCTACTTGTTTCATTCCTGTCATTTGCATGGCAGGAGACAGACTGATTTTAAAGTTTAGTTTCACCTATACATACATGGCAATTGCTGTCCTTAATATCCAGTAGCCTTTTTTTTTTTCAGTTCTTAAATTACATAACTTGTTTGTATTTAAAATAGACGGAGTCCAACTTTTAGACTAAAGCAGTAAAATTTTATCAGTGTATGGGTTCTGTGCTAGCATCTCTATTTTCCCTCTAACTGTATGCCAATGAGGCAAAAAGCAACTGCTTTTTATCCACACCCCCTGGATTCTATAAAAAAGCATTCATCTTGCATGAATCTGTTACAAATTGTAGAGATGAAGCCAAAGATTGGAACTGAGGAGGACATTTATTAACCTAGCCAAATTTCTTATGAGCAGTCTTAAGCATAATACGTTTTTTAAAGATAAAAGGTACAATTTACCTTATCTCCGTATCTAGCCTTCAAAGCATAAAATAACTAAGTGATAAAAACAACTGATGCATAAATTATGGTAAGGTAGCAGTAGAAAAATCTACTGTCACCCATATTTTAGTCTATTAACATTAAAGATCAGTTATGTCCATAGGCAAACAAGCTGATTCAGTAGTGTGCTTACTTCCCCAAGCAGAGGACCTTTCAGGAGCATACAGGACAGAGCTTAAAGAGATAAATATATATGTAGCAATGTTTCAGTCGGGTGTTACAGAACACTAAATAATTGCAACTGATGTTACCAACACTGTTCCAAGTCAGGAATGTTGGGCTGGTTATGTTGATTATGTGGCAGTGTGGTATTCCCTATAATTCTTTGAAGGAAATATCCTGCAGGAAATATAATAATTGTCACAGTTTTTGGTGGAATTTATTGCCACTGATCTATGAAAAGAAATGCCAGGAAAGCACCTGGATGGCTGTTGAAAACCTCTAAATTAGTGGGAATGCTGTGTCAATATTTTATGGAAGGTGGCTCCTGTAGTTAATATCAGTAAATATGTTGGCAAGGAAAGGCAAGTTTATAATCTGTTATTGAATGCACAATGGAAGTACTGTGTCTCTTATGTGAATCAGCTACCAGACAAAGGAATTTAAATCCAAACAGAATGAAATGAGACGTTACCAGGATGGAAAGAGTGATTGTGAAATTATGCAAAGAACCTACATTGTATAGAGGTAATTTCTACAGAGACAGGGAAGTATTCATGCTATCAAATAAGGTCCTGAGGAAATCTCAGGGATACTGTGTAGTTTTGTTCAAGTAAAATAATTTTAAATCTGAAACAGATGGGTAAAATCAGGGGAAAGAATAGCCTAGCTTCTTGTAAGGTGGGAATGTTTGGTGTGTTTAGGGGAAAAATAAAAAGAGGATACAATTCCCGTCAATATACATATCACAAAGTGAAACGAACTATTTAAACCAAAAGTCATCACTGTCATAAAACTAGATTGGTATAAACTGGCTATGAATAAATTTAGGCAGGCTATTTGAAAAACGTTTCTGATCATTAGAGTATAATAGTTCTGGGACATATTAAGTTGCAAAATCTTACCAGTCCTATGAACAGGGGGAAAGGGTTATGAGATGTGGTGCTTATGGCAGTGGACTAGGTTTTAGTAATCACTGAAATCCCTTTGAGG